TTGAATATTTCGATACATATTCACCTTTTACAGAATTACTTTCATTCGTATGCTTATAATGATAGCAGCGTTGAATGATTTGAATATGCATCAAATTGATGCGAAAAAAACATTCATAAATTTTAAATTGGATAAAGAAATTATATGGAACACCCTAAAGAATTTATTGCCTTAGACAAGAAAAAGAGTATGTTGAATTGTAAAATCACTTTACGTTTTAAAGTGGACTATTAAAAAATGTATGAAAAAATTGACACAGTTATGGTGTCAAATAATTTCAAAATTAATAAGTATAAAAAAATGTATATATATCAAGAGTGCTCAAAATGGATATGTTATGGTATGTTTATATGTAGATGACAAGTTGATTGTGGATAATAATGATACCATAATTCAAACAACTTAAAGGATGTAAATGAGTAATTTGAAATGAAGGGGTGTCACTGATATTATATTAGGGATTAAAATCCTTAGAACATTCGATGATATCATATTATCTCAATCACACTATATTGAGAAGATTATTAATAAGTTCAAGAAATATGAGTTCAATCCTATGAATACACCTATCGATGCTAGCTTACATCTTGTTTTAAACACAGATGATAGTAAGTCTCAGCTGAAATATTCTCGTATTATTGACAGTTTAATGTATGTCATGAATTGTACATAATCGATATTGCTTAACTCTATAAATGAGCTAAGTCGATATATGAGTAATCCGAGCACTAAGCATTGGAAGATAATTGTTAGAGTTTTAGGGTTTTTGAAAAATCATTATAATACTCTTACTTTATGCATGTGGTAGGGTTGAATCTAACATGCAAAACTTAAGAGACATTTAGGGTCTTCCTAAGGCAATTTTGATACATCATGGACAAGAATTCATGCATTATTGGAGCTACAACATATAGATAGTAAAGCTTCATTTGAAAAGAGAATGTGTAATGTCCAACATAATTTCAAATCTATCTTGTTTAAAAAGCTAAGGGGATTTACATCAAGATTTGCAATCTATTTGTCACTTCAAGAGTCCAAGCGAGTTGATGACATAGGGATTGACAAGGTAGCTTGTAGATCTGTTATACGACCAACACATGGATTACCGTGTGCCAATGAGATTTCTGAGAACAATATGGAATCTCGGCCCATCGTTTTATGAAGAATACACTCTCATGGGAAGAAATTTGATCTAGCTCCATTTGGCCAGGGTAATACATCTGAGATTAATTGTGAAACATTATTTGAAATGATTGACAAGCAATATTGAGATAATAATGATCATGTGAAGGTAGAAATCCTACAAAAATTGAAAGAGATTGTTAGTTTGAATTCTACATTATTAGTTGAGCCACAAGTCAAAACTAAGACAAATGGTTATCCGTCTTCAAAGATAGATATATCTACTCATCAAGATCCATTATATTTTGAGTTGGTTCTATGTTGACAAGACAATATGCTAAAAAAATGGATAGTTCCATTAGAATAGGCCTTTGGTTAGAAAACGCCTAATAGAAGAGCTTTAATCTCATTTCACTGATTAGTCTACTCTGCGAATCTTGATAGGATCCATGAGTTGATTCATTCACTATCTCATTTTTATACTTCTCCGAGTCGCGAGTATTGTATGACCATGTTGAGTATGGGTCATCATATTGGTTCAAGATATAAGGTTATTCTTGTTCACTTAGCCAACAACAATATCTTAAATTCTCTTCACTTTCGGATGAACCATTTGCAATAGCATCTCTTAGGATTGTTGTAATTGGATTAGTCAATGGCTGCCATTTTATCTCGATAAGTATCTATTAACTCAATTAGCCCCCGTTTGGTACACATTTTGAAGATAAGAATGTATTTTTACTGTTGATGTGATCGGGAATGTGTGATTGAAAAAGAAGGAAAAGTTATTGATGTGATGAAAAATATTATTTTATTGAAAAATGTGTGGTTGAAAATGAGTAGAAGAATGAGAATGAAAAAAAATAATGTGGACCAAACAGGGCCTTCATTTTTGAATTAACTATTTGAAATTTTTACTTGTGTTTTCTCATGTAACTGCGTGCAAGTGAGTTGGCATACTAGTGGACCATTGCCAACTATTGATTGTAAGGGAAAATTTTCAAAAATCAGGCATTAAGTTTGACCTTTTAAAAAATCAGGTTTTCACTTTTTTTTTTCATTTATCAGGTTTTTTTTATCATTTTAATTAAATAATTTCCATTTTAAAACCCTAATTCACCAATTCCTCACCACTCTCATCTCTTTCTCCATCGTCTCTCTCACCACCTGCCACCTCATCCCCCCTCTCTCTTCTACACCCTTTTCCCTCCCTTCTTCCCCCGGCTAGGGTCACTGCTGCTGTTCACAGCGTCGAAGCGCTGCGAATGGCAGCGTCGCTGCTACCGACGTCGCGATGCTGACGGTGTAAACTACGAGGTCAGTGTAAACTGATTCATCTTGGTCAACGTTAGTTACGGTTCTGATCACTTTCTTGCTTTCATTTTCTTTCAAGTTTGATATGGCAATTTATGGGTAGTTCATGTTGGATATGGAATCAGAATCTGATTCGGTGGGGCATGAAAAATTAGCTGGAAGAGACTACGCGGTTTGGTTTATCTTGGTTATGTTATAGCTAGTATAGCAGAGGTATTGCAAGTATTTCAGTCTCATAAACTAACCCTGGCTGCAATAGCCCAGACGTTCTTACTTCCCCTGCACCACCACCTCAATTGTAGCACGATGTTGTTTGTGTGTTGGTAGGTCGTGAATCTGCATGGTGGTGCAGTAGCGTTGGTGCTGATGTGTGGTGTTGATGTGTGTTTGTGTAATGGTGGGCTGCAGATCTGCATGGTGATGGTACTATGGTGGAGGTTGAGGTACGACTGTGGTGGTAGAGCTGCATTTTTGGCTGTGAGGTAGAGGTGGCAGTGGCAATTATTTAGTTAATTATTGTGGCGGGGTTAACGGCGGTGGTGGTTCTTTTTGGTGTCTGTGACCTAGCTATTGAACTGTGACTTTAAAATTGATAATTTGTTGGTGTCTATGACAAATAAATTTGAAAATACGTGACATGTAATATATAATTTTTTGATCTGTAACCTATAAAATTTTAGATTTGTGACCTCGAAATAATTCGTGACCTACAAAATTTTTGATCTGTGACCGGAGAACAGTGCCGTAGTGGTCGCCAGTCACATGAGTAGTCACCGGAGCAGAGGTGGAGGTGGGGTGGAGTGGAGGTGGGTTAATTATATTATATTACTGTTAAATATTTAATTCAATATAATAATTGTGAAATATAATTAATTAATTCATGAAAAACCTGATTTTTGCAATTCTAAACCTTGGGGCCTGATTTTTGATTTTAAGATAGATAAAGCCCGAGTTGTGAATTTTTCCCTTGATTGTAATCGGTACAAGTACCATCATCCATGTGCAGAGAGTAGGGCTACACCATATCATGCCAAGTTTGCAACTTTTTAGGTCCCTAGTAGAAGAAGACATAGCTATATAAGAGATAATTGACTTGGATAAATGACAAGACTAGTTATTAATAACACTACTATTATTGCTCTACAAGTTGTAGCATGCAAAATTTAAACAAATAATATTGACACTTTCCCACTTTCATGGTTATGGCTAAAATATGATTTCTGATATGTGTTTCCATTGACGAATGAGTTTAACGTGTTGAATTCTATGATATAGTAAGTGTAACTACGTCAAGCATTGGTACACATTGCAGTGTTCTTGTCGACACTAATTGTGAATTCTGATATGTGTTTCCATTGACGAAGGAGTTTAACGTGGTGAATGCTATGATATAGTAAGTGTAACTACGTCAAGCATTGTTACACATTGCAGTGGTCTTGTCGACACTAATTGTGAATGAGATGTGGGTTAAGGTTGTACTACTGATTCTCACATTAATTTTGAGAAGTTGTAACAATAGACAACTAAATTTAGCTTATTTCGTTTTTTGTTCAATCTCATATGGTCATTCTATCGAAAGAAGAAAATTCATGGAAAACTTGTTTTCTTATAGCAAAACTATAATATTTTGTTCAATTTCTATGACACAGTTGCATTTTAAAGAAAATATAATGGCAAGTGCTATGAAATGTAAATTTACACAGTAATAAACTTGATGTTTCAGAAAAAGAAGGCTCTTTTGCAAAATCCTAGATTGGATGTCCATTGGCGGAATTTAAAGGGGAATGCGATTCTTTTATTATATTTATTATTATAGGACAACAAGACCTCAATTTCGATGGGTTAGTAGACTAGTGTTTTTTTTAAGATTTCGATATCGTAATAGGGATAGAAATATAACAATTGTTGATGTAAAAAGAGGCTCCTCAAGTATATGAATCTTGTAATAATTATTGGATAATCACGAGTTAGAGAGGCTTATAATCACAAAGTTTGTGCAAAATTTCAAGTTGATCTAGTATTTTAGTCATAAAGTATTTTTTAGAGTCATTTATCACTAAAGTTAATTAATGTTATATTATTGTTAAAGTTATTAACAAGGACCTTTAACATTATAAATTTGTTGATTGAGATGGACTTGCAGGCATGTTAACAAATCCCAAATGAAGTGATTCGATTGGTTTTTAAATTAGAGTTCAGTGGCTTAATTGCTTCAAAATGAAGTTTAATGACCCGGATGCAACTAAGATGAAATGACAGTGATCTCCAGTGTAATTAACTCTGACAAAAATTCAAACATGCTGTAGTATTGGGGCACTTATGAAAGTTGTTAAATCTAGAGGGCTTCTACATGCAAATTTCTAATAAAAAATCATTCCGGCTACCCCTCAGCTCCCTCACCTTCTTAAGCCACCTTACACGCACACAGTCACAGTTCCTGGTTTTCTTAGCTCATTTATCTTCATTCCCTCAACCCCAACTACCCTCCCCCTCACCACCCCTAGTATATTACAAAATTTTATATATATTCAGGAGTTTAATCAGAATTAAAATTTTGAATTTGAATGGCGTCTTCGTCGGCGAATTTGTGGGTGTTGCTGGGGCTAGGGCTGGCTGGAATACTCATACTGACTAAGAAGCTGAAGAGGGTTGTGAAAGCTGATTTTGGGGCGTTTATAGAGAGGCTTCAGCTACTGCCGCCGCCTCAGCCCGCCCCTCCGAAAGCCCCCCACCCTCTAACCGGCCTCTCCTTCGCCGTCTCTGATGTGTAAGGCTTTTCAATTTTCATTCTCTATATCTCGTTTAACATTTTTTCTCTCTGTTTTTTGCAAAATTATACTTTTCGTATCTTAGTTTAGTAGATAATTCAATGATTATGGAATTGAATTTTCCTTTGAAGATAATCTACAGTGTACTTTTGAAGGTTTTTTTTTTTGGTTGAATTATTCTTTACTGGTGTAGTCGATATTTGAAATTGTTGCGTTTATCTATTTGGTCTCTGTCTGTTTTGTAATGGAGAATTCAGTAAAAAGAAAAGGAGACTGGAAATTATATATCAAAGGGCTCGTGCTGGAGTATTGGTGCTAGTTTTTTCGATGTCCCATTTTATGTACATTTTCTTTTCTTACAAACTAAAGAAAAGTTTGCCTGCTCTTTTGAGGTGTGGGGAAGGTGGACATGAAGATGCGATTGAGCAGTATTGCCGGATCAAATTGTCCCTTTCCATTCATCAAATTGGGCTGGTTACTTGTGTTTATGTCATGTTGTTATTATCCTTTCTTCGTCCAATGGAGTTACAGGTTAATTGTATGAATTGGCATTACTTTTAAAGAGAAACTTTCTTGGCATGTATTCTTCAAACCCCAGTAGTCCTAAGTAAAAGGGAATTGTTGTGAAAAATTAGAGCTACCAAAGGTTACTAGGGAAGCAGCTAAGGAACTTATATATTGATAAAGAATGTGGACTTTTGATGATCCGAAAGCTGTCATGATGTGCCTTTTCTTATTGCTGCAACAATAATTCTAGTGAAAATTCTATGTGGAAAGAGAAATTTTTTTATAAGAGCATCTACAAGAGGCTCTTTAAAATTGAAGTCCTCTCCATTTTGAAGAGTTATCGCTTAAAATTATACTCTAAGAGCTCTTCAAATTAAAATTTTAAATAGAGCCAAATCCCCTCTTTACAATTTAATGCATTCAAAATATTTCAATTTTAATACTCTATATGTCGACCCAATTAAATATTATGCCCCCGTTTGACACCCATTTTTTCTCATTCTCATTCTCATTTTTTTCCTCTTTCTTCATTTCAACCACACATTCTATCAATAAAATAATACTACACATAAACCCAAAAATTCTCATTACTTTTTAACCACACATTCTTCCATCAATCACTATTCCAGAATTTATTTTTTGTCAAAAATGGGTGTCAAACAGGGGCTATATGTTCAAAATAAATTCAAAAATAACACTATAATGGGTGTCAAACAGGGCCTATATACAAAGAAAATGGAGGGAAATAACATAATTATCTGGAAGGAAGCTGATGAAAATAAAAGGGGGGGAAAAATAATAAATACATATTGGGAGTAGTAAACTTAGGTTTTAAAGATAATAAGGTTGTTGGAGTATTTAAAAACTTTTACTCTAAACTTATAGATGCTCTCTAAATTGAAACATGTGCCATTTAAAACTAGTCTCTTGAAGATGCTCTAAAAGTATAGAAAAGGAAATAACTTGTGCTGTGCAAATTAATGAGTTATTGACCTCCAACACTTGGTATTTACAGAAATGAATTAGGGCGTCGGATGTATGGGGTCATGGCCTGAGTGCATATCTTCACCGATTGCATTACTCAGGAATAATTCATTATGTGGAGGCAGAAAAACCCATTGGGCATACAACAATTCCATTCTAGAATTTCGTCCGTGACTATTGTTTTGACTAATAGATGTTTTCTTGAAGAAATAATGATGATATTGAACTGGAGATTTATTTCTAAGAGTTTTTCTTTTGTAAGTATGCCTACTTCCTTAAATGTACAATCATAATGCTTGATTTTTGCTTGATGGTTTGTCATTTAGCATAGGATGCTTATTCAGGGTTTTGCTCTGCCTTCTTTCCTCTCTCTTTCTCACAGGGACATTTTTCTTATTCTTATAGTCAACATCTAAGCGAACATCTTTGTCAGTCATTTTTATTATATGAGACATCCCATGTTAAAATCGTTTAAATTTTTAAATCTTGATTTCCAGATTAGATATTGAAGGATATGTGACTAGCTTTGGCAATCCGGACTGGTTGAGGACTCATGAGGCTGCTTCTCGTACGTCTCCCGTGGTTGCTGCCCTTGTTGATGGAGGTGCCACATGTGTCGGAAAAACTGTCGTGGATGACATGGCATTAGGGTTTGTACCTTATCCTCAATCTTTCTAAGAATTTCTTTACTTAGAGATTTTAAGCTTTTAACCTATATCACTTTGCTTCCTCATATCAGTTAATTTTGTTTGGTGTTCAGTAGTTTGCTAATCTTTTTTATTTCTGGTTTTTCCCTGAATCTAGTATTAGTGGAGAAAATAAGCATTACGGTACACCCACTAATCCTGCCTCACCAGCACGAGTGCCAGGAGGAGCCTCTAGTGGTGCTTCTGTAGCTGTGGCTACTAACCTTGTTGATTTTTCTTTAGGTGAGCTTCCACTTTACTTTCTTGCTTTTGCCCCATCATTTATCAATTGATCTACATTGACTACTAGCGTGGGATAAGTCTTTGTTTAGTTGTATTTACAGTGGCTACTCATGGATAAAAGTCTTTTAAATCAGTTTCTGAGTGGATAATGCGTTATTTAACATTCCAATACATCTTTATTTGTTTGGAAATGCAAGGAAAAAGCGCGAAGGAGATGTTGTCACGTGCCTCTCATGTTATGTTTTAGATTAATGAAATATGCACAAAAGCAAATGAAATGCTAGAAATGCCATGAATCATAGAACATCACAGTGGGATCACTGATAACATTTTGAGCAATCAATAAGAAAATGATGAATTACAAGGTATTGGAAGAATGAATAGAAGGTTGACATAATATCACACATTAAAATCCTGCAAGGTATTGCACTCAATTGGGGTAAATGACTATTAGAATCCCACATTGTTTGGGAAAATATAAATGATCCACTTTATAAGGTGAGGGCAATCCTCCCCTAATAAGCCGGTTTTATTAGTTGGAGTTAGCCCCAATATTCCTAACATGGTATCAGAGTTAGGCCCAATTATGCAATGTTGGGTGCCACCCAATATATACTTGTTCACAGTTGTTTGGCATGATCCACGCTGTGCGTGAGGGGGCGTATTAGAATCCCACATTGTTTGGGAAAATATAAATGATCCACTTTATAAGGTGAGGGCAATCCTCCCCTAATAAGCCGGTTTTATTAGGTGGAATTAGACCCAATATTCCTAACAATGACAATTGGAAATCAAGATATTTTCATTTTAAATATTTCAAATTAAGCTATGAACATCAGAGAGTCCTTTTCTGATATTCTGTTTTATTTTTGTTTCTTCAAATTAAGTTCCTTTCTTTAGCCAGTAAGTTAATGGCTAACCATGTCATTCTATGCGTATTCCTTGTGGACAAATTCTTTAACCCTTTCTTGCATGGAACCTTTTACACTTCCTTGCATCTCTAAATATGCCTTCCACTTAAAATTTACTTTCAACATTATTTCAAATATGAGTTGTTAATTGGTGATAATGCTTTTTAGCTTTCTGCTTATTGTTTCCTCATCACTTACATATTGCACTATATATTCCTAACTATCAAACATTAACGTATAAGATAGGTTGTTCAATGGGAATTATTGGGTGGATTACATTTTAGATGCTATGAACATTAAGTAGCATCCCTTGTGCCCTTATGTTTCATTATGCATCTATACGCGCAGCTATTCTTTTCATCTTCGGCTGTAATGAAGATATAAAGCTCTTTAAACTTATCTGTGCTTTACAGTGAGGACATTAGAGGCTTCCTCATCGTGGGATTTTTTACTTTATACCTGCTGTAATATACCATCAATGTGGAATGAATGGAGGGGAATAATAATTATTAATGGCGCTTCATTACTTTTTGTTTGATTACGACAATTTATCATTTTTCATGCCACATCATCCTGACCTAAACATGCTTATAAACACTGGATCTGATATTGGCATCTAGGAAATGCTGTTAAGGCTATTCGTTTTTTTGGTTCTTTTAGTGTTTGTGTATACAAGGCCTGGTTGAGGATTTAGATGCACGCTTGTTGACTTCAATATTTGCATGAATTGGAATTTTACCTTGTGATATAAGCTATCTTGTAAATGACTGCAACTGTAAGTTGTATAAGGATTTTATGGCAGTCTTGAATTTTCTTTGGTATGTTTGATCCTTTATGAAAAATGTCTAGGAGAAGGTTTTTTATGTTAGTTTGAATGAGACCATATCAAAAACATTTTTACTTGATAGTGAAGATGAAATTTGTTATTTATTGTTGTATAATGTTTCAAAAGGGTGCATATTGCATAGATATATTACAGTGACACAGCATTTTTTGTCAGCTTAGCTTGGTCTGCTATAAGATTTTTCTTCTTAATCTTATAAATTGTTTGTGTTTAATGGAAACTCAATGATATACTTCTAAGTAACACTGCCCTGTTACATTTTTATTGTAACGTGTAAGTTATTAATCATACAAGTAACTGCTAGCTTTATCTGATTTTTGTAGTAAAAATTAGGTTGACAAATGAATATTAGTACTTTTATAGTCATCTCTTTGCTCTCTAGTTAATTACTGCAGCTAATACATGACCAAGAAACTTCTTATTGAATCTTGCAATATGAAGTATAACAAGTTCTGTAGTACTACTAACATCTTGCTAGTTTACAAGCACTTGTATGGTGTTTCGGTTACGAAAATTTTCAACATAACAGGGAAATTTGTGCTTTGATAGTCCATGCAGGGGCGGAGCCATATACAGTCAATTGCAGGTGGATGCCTGCACTCAACTTTGGGCTGCCCCTATACTTGCGTTGGTTAAATTCTTTTAAAATAATAATAAATAAATAAAATTTGAAGCTGCCAGATTTTTCAGTAAAAATTGGCTAAGCAAGATGGAGGAAAATTACAGAAAATCGAAGAACTGCTTGAAGAGCACTAGTGCTTTTATACACCCCAACATTGTCCCCTTTCCACACAACATAAAAAGCGTCCTCATCCGCCATTTTTGGTTTCTATTCAACTTCAATCCCACCAAATCAGACTAGAAATATGTAAAACTAATGACCCACCAGGAATTCCTTGCTTCAATTATTCCCATTAAATGCATTAACGGAGTAAGAAATAATCAAAACCCTAATTAGCAGAATTAATCCAAATAATCAATGTTTTTTAAATTCAAAGAAAAATACAGCTTATGATTGTAATAAAAAAAGCAAAAAGGAAAAGGAAAATATCTGACCTTTTGAGGCTCGATTTCAGCGTCTTGTTGTCAAGACTGTACACTGGCTTAAAAAAAGGGAGCAGCATAAAATGAAATAAATGGAGTTTGAGCATGTATATATGTGGGCTTCTTGGTATGAATTTATTAGAAAGATTATGTGGACCTCGTGAATCCACTAGCCCATGATGTTTGTTGGTGACGTGCAGCAATCAAGCAAAAATATTGGGAACTACAATTGAAAGGAAAGGTCTTGATTTTTAGCTAAATGTTTCAAGATTTGAAATGTAGGGATTGAAAATAAGCCCACGTTTGATTCTTATAAAAATTAGATTTTCAATAGATTTAAAAAATATAAATTAATTAATATAACATATAGCTAAAAAATTAAAAAATGTTGTGAAGTCTATAAAATTTTTGATTAAAATGAGTTAAAAAAAAATGAATTTTTAGGAATGAGGGTCAAACATATACAAAGTAATATAAGGTCTACATTCGATTTCAATGTGATGAGTACTGTCAAGCTAATAAATCTCGTTAAGCGATGTTTCAATTTTAGGAAAATTCTATTCCTTAAGGGCCAAAATTTAACGTGTTTCATTCCCTGAAAACTTAAAGTCGAGCCTTTATTAAATTTTGTCCTCACTGGACAATATTCCTGGTTACGCCCTTGAGCCCCATGGGAGTATTATTAAGACTTAAAAATAGCTGATACTTATTTTTTGATAGTGAGATTTGATAATTTACTCCATTACTTAAGATAACTATGGAATTATGGGTCACTTCATCCTATTTAAGGTGACGGGGTTGTAATTTTTGTCATTTAGAGATATTATTAGATTTCACTACTTCGTGTCCTCCATTTTTACCAAGCTGAAAATCATTTTTTTTTTTAATATCCATGTTTCATTGCCACCTTCATATAATGCATAGTAATATATAAAAACTTGTCAAAATATTTGAGATCTGATCAAGACATAACTTCAGCTTATTATGTAATTGGGTAAGGCTACATGCGTCTAGTCCTTTCCAAACCCCGTAGTGGTGGGAAGTTTGTGCAGTGAGTGCATCCTTTTTATTTATAAACCAACAGTCATGAGGAAATAACATCACCACTGTGTAAATAGTGTTTGCTATTATATTTGACGATTCCACCATTTTTCTTTTTTTAAAAATTTTTATATTCCTTCTCTTGTTGAGAAAATTTGGATCACTAGTTATTAACAGTCCAGCTGTGCTTATTCCAATTTTTATGCACTATTTTGTTTTATGTCAATGTTAAGACTTTAAGATGCATCCTTCACTTGGTCCTTAGGATTAAAAGAATCTCACTCTAAAAGTATGTAATGAACTCTTTAATGACTACCTTTGATCTTTATAACCATTCATGTGCTGTTACTATCTCAGAGAAATTCATGGTTACTTAGTTGTCTATGTCAGGTATTGACACCGTTGGTGGCGTGCGAGTGCCTGCGGGATATTGTGGTATACTGGGCTTTCGGCCATCTTATGGGATTGTCTCACTTTCAGGGGTAATTCCTGTTTCCACAAGTCTTGATACCATTGGTAAGTATTTTTGAACTAGATTTTAGAAAATGGCTTTCGCATAAATTTTGAAAATTGAGGTGTTAGTACTTTTTTTTTAATCATCTTCATAATGGAGAAGCTAACTCTTTCCCTTCAGCATCCTGTTAATTAGTTATGTTAGTATGGTATTATCGATTGTACTTCTCACATTTCAACAGAGAAAAGAGAAGAATAGTTTTTTTTTATTTTAATAGTAAAACTGATTAAGAGAGTAAAATTGATGTTCTATCTCCTATTTATGAGCGATTTTGGGGAAAAGGCACCAACTTTGAGGGAAACCTTTGATGTTTAAGGAAGCACGACCATTTTCTTGATTGCAATGTCATCCTTAAACATGGAATTATCCAGCCATTAGAAATGCAAAAGAAGGAAAGTAACACAGGAGTCAGGACGACTGGTCTAAATTGTGTTTTGCAAGAGCTCCACATAATCCAAAATATCAAGACCATGTATAGCTTTCACAATAAGCAATCCTCTAAACTGCCCATCTAGTCTAATCTGTTAATTGTTATGCATTCTTGAAATAAAATTAGTCAAAATCACTTCTCTCTCATTTTCCAGGAATATAAGGGTGTTTGAGCTACATTATTTTGGAAGAATGTATTTTGGAATAGTAGATTGATAGAGAATGTGTGGTTGAAAAAGAATGAGAAGTTACTGATGTGATGGAAAATATTATTTCATTGAAGAATGTGTGGTTGAAAATAAGTAGAAAAATAAAAATGAAAAAAATAATGTGGCCCAAACAGGGGTTAAGTATTGAATTTTGTAATGAAGGTAATGTAAGAATACTCTAGTTTCCTTTCTTAAAGAGGATGGTGGTAAAAAAGAAATTGTGACATTCATTTTGGAGCTGGAGTAATATATTGTATTTTGCTATATGGTGGACTGTTGCACAATATTTGAATTATTTTATTTTGGTTTAATTTTCTTTTGTTTTTTGGTGGTGGTTGTGCTTGGTTTAATCATTTGATGATTCATTTTTGCATGGATATCCATGTAGCTATTCAGTCCAGAGGGCTCAATCTTGCACAAAGTGATTTTGTCATTGCTGGTTTGCTGGTCATAGTTTAACTAGAAACTGTGGCCATTGGGTTTTGATTTTCACTTTCTTTCCACAGTATCATTCTATGTTTCGTTTATGCGTAGATATCAACACAATCAGTCCAGAGGGCTCAAATCTTGCTCAAAGTCATTGTCATTTCTGGTTTGTGATAGATTTTCAATCTGTTTGCAAGGATACAGCCAATATGAAGGCTACCAAGTCATCCAATATTCTAGAATATTCCACCTAGTTAGTGATGTAGTACATCACAACTAC